CCCCCCTTTCCCTGGATGAATATTAAATCAATAAAAAACAGATTATTTTGTATTTGTCTATTATTGAAGAGAAGTGAGTGGATAGAACAGATGTATTTTGTTTGATGACAAGTTATTTTTTCTTCTCAATATTTTCATCTATTTAAAAAACATAAAAATCACCACGTTTCTCAATCTTTTAATAAATGGTACAAATGCGATATCGTTCTACGGAACACGACAGGCTGATTTCTAGAGTCCATCAAAGCTTAACAAAATAACGAAAATGTGTAAAATTTTAGATTGAAAAAACGACATTATCTAGTATCCTCCTTTCCAATAAAACCCGTTTATGATCTCAACACTCTTTAATTAAAGGGTCATTTCAAGCTTTGTGAACAGTCCCTTTTATAAAAAAATGTGAATCTTTTCTACCTCCCCAACCCTCAGTTCAATCCTAGCATCCCCTAGGGATCTAATTTTCCCTCCATAAATATTAGGACAAATGTTTTTTAAAAAACTAATTTTTACCCTTATACTTAGCTCAACAAAGATAAAAGGCCGGGTGTAAATTTAGAATCGGATCCAGCTGTAAACCAAAACTTGTTTACGTAGGTTTAAAAACCGCATTAAATTATCCGCACTCCTAGTCTGCAGTTAAACTTTAAACCCTGAATTGCATGATTGAAAATTAATGAAGAGTTGAGTAGAACTATACTAGGATCCGGAGTGAGACTATACTAGGACCCGGAAAACACGAAACTAGAGAATAAAGAGAGAGAATCTGGGTCAGTCAGAACCTTTATTTAACAATAAACTTTTCTATTTCAGGGAACTATTAAAATCATTAATTTTATTCTACGAAACATATTTTGTTGTTGGATTAACTTTAATAATTGATGCTACAGTTGGCAAACAGAATACTACAGTGAGACACTTTAAACTGTAGAATTGGAAGACGACATTCAATCTTGTGAAGCTGTCAAATACAGTAAATTGTTCAAACTGTGGATTAAAACCCAACTTATTCAGTGAACTGGTTCAAGTCATAACTTCAGTCGTCTTCCTGGTGAACAGTTGTATTGGTTTCACTGAAGGACTTTTTCCTTTATAAAAAGAAAAATTCTATACCAGGCATTGTTTCTAATCAAGATATCGCAGTAAGGCTGCAATTAAGGTTTTTATAGAAAATCTTTAATATCTTTTCAGTACCTTGATTACTGCAACACAGGATTATGTAGCGTGTCAGTCAATACTTAAAGGGCTTAGAGACGATAATATTCAGAAGTATGGGGAAATGTCTAGACCTCAGGGAAGTGTCTAGAAGTAAGAAAATTTCTAGAACTAGGGAAAACATCTATAAATACAACAAAATAAAGCAATTCAAAAATTTCTAGAACTCGGGGAAATGTCTAAAACTAGAGGAAACACTATAAGAAATTTCTAAAACTAGGAAAAATTTCTGGAACTAATTGAAATGTCTAGAACTAGGGAAAATGTATAGAACCGGGGAAAATGTCTGGAACCGGGGAAAATATCTAGAACCGGGGAAAATGTCTGGAACCGGGGAAAATGTCTAGAACCGGGAAAAATGTCTAGACTAGGGAAAATGTCTAGAACCAGCAAAAAATTAAAGCCTTAAATCAGAATTGAAATATTTCGATTAAGGATGAAATGTCTATACAAATAAAGAGGAATTGTATTGAAAGAAAAAATTATAATAAAAATTTAATAAAAGAGAAAAATATATAAAAACTGTACTGAAACCAAGAAATGTAAAGAAACTGTAGTGAAACCAAAAATATAGAGAAACCGTACTGAAACCAAGATTTGTAAAGGAACTGTACTGAACCTGTACTGAAACCAAGATTTGTAAAGAAACTGTACTGAAACCAAGATTTGTAAAGAAACTGTACTGAAACCAAGATTGTAAAGAAACTGTGCTGAAACCAAGATTTGTAAAGAAACTGTATTGAAACCAATAAATGTACAGAAACTGTATAGAAACCAAGAAATGCGCAGAAACTGTATTGAAACTATGAAATGTAATGAAACTGAACTGAAACCAAGAAATGTACAGAAACTATATATTGAAACCAAGAAATGTACAGAAACTGAACTGAAACCAAGAAATGTACAGAAACTGAACTGAAACCAAGAAATGTACAGAAACTGAACTGAAACCAAGAAATGTACAGAAACTGAACTGAAACCAAGAAATGTACAGAAACTGAACTGAAACCAAGAAATGTACAGAAACTGAATATTGAAACCAAGAAATGTACTAAAACCTTATCGGGAAAAAGGGAAAAGAATAGTATCTATTACGATGAAAGAATGGAAATGAATAGAAATGAGAAATGAATGGAAAATATATTGAAAAGAGAAATGTATGGAAAATATATTGAAAAGAGAAATGCATGGAAAATATATAGAAAAGAGAAATGTATGTATGGAAAATATATTGAAAAGAGAAATGCATGGAAAATATTTTGAAAAGAGAAATGTATGGAAAATATATTGAAAAGAGAAATGTATGGAAAATATATTGAAAAGAGAAATGTATGGAAAATATATTGTAAAGAGAAATGTATGGAAAATATATTGAAAAGAGAAATGTATGGAAAATATATTGAAAAGAGAAATGTATGGAAAATATATTGAAAATATAAGGTATAATGTAAATTTAATTGATTATCATATGAATAAACACAGTTTATTGTATCTAACAAAGAAACATATTCTTGATAAAATTATTCAAGTTTTCATTTACTCAAATAACTTTAAGTACAGAAGCATGTTTATGGCATGTAATAAAATTATATATTATTCTAACTTTAAACTTTCAGTAATAAGTATTCCACCTCTCCTCCCCTCCCCCAGGTTTTAGTTTTCATAATTCAGCAAACATCCTTCGCAATTTTAAACTTAGTGAGTTGTCATGCAAAAGGTCATGGAGAAAGCAAACTTACACCAGAACTTTTATGTTTCAAATTCAGTTGTATTTTCATTAAAAAAAAATTTAAAATATTATTTGTATATTTTACCTGGTGTGTGTACGCCCTTTTATCCTGCAAATTTAGCGCCAATTTCTGTAAACCAAACTTTTGATTGTCTTGAGAAGAAGCAAGGGCCAACTGTTTGGAAAGTGTTGAATGATGTTCATCAATCATCTATCTTTTACCTTCACGAAGTTCACATGTTTTTATCCCAGTATTAACTATACTCTCAGGCTCAATATTATCATCGGTCCTATCGCTTCTATATCCTGGGGTACCATGAGCAGGGTTCGGGTTGAACTGTTCCACCCTCCGGGTTCTCCGATTCCTACCTGCCGAGGTTCGATCCTCCGCTTTTCCCTCCCTGGTTCATAAACTCTGATATTCTCCGATACTAGGACTTACTCCGGGATACAGTTTAAGCTGATTAATCTAAACCGTCTGTTGATTCCGTAATACCTAATTTTTCGCCTGTTTAAACTAAGCAATTTATAGTTATCATAGAATTATCCATTAATTATTTTGTAATAAAAAATCAAACATAAAGGATAATATTATTCTAGGATTTGTAAAGTCACCCCTCCCTTCCTTCCCTTAAGATCCAGAACCCTGTATATATTCTAGGATTTGTATAGTCACCCCTCCCTCCCTTCCCTCAAAATCCAGAACCCTGTAGATATTCTAGGATTTGTATATACACCCCTTCCTCCCTTCCCTCAAGATCCAGAACCCTGTATATATTCTAGGATTTGTATAGTCACCCCTCCCTCCCTTCCCTTAAGATCCAGAACCTTGTAGATATTCTAGGATTTGTAGTCACCCCTCCCTCCCTTCCCTTAAGATCCAGAACCCTGTATATATTCTAGGATTTGTATAGTCACCCCTCCCTCCCTTCGTTCAAGATCCAGAACCCTGTAGATATTCTAGGATTTGTATATACACCCCTTCCTCCCTTCCCTCAATCCAGAACCCTGTATATATTCTAGGATTTGTATAGTCACCCCTCCCTCCCTTCGTTCAAGATCCAGAACTAACGAATTAAAACAAATTTAGTCTTTAAAATAAAATCAAAAGAACAATAAAAAGAACAATTCTGCGTCTGTTTAAAAGTCTGGAAGCATGAAATCTGGGAAACTTTGAATCTAGAAATATTAAAAATGTGAAAATTTCATCTTTCGGAAACATGGAGTTTAATCTCTCCAGTTTAGAACCAGATACATTTGATTTAAGAAGACAGTGTAAACAAGTTCATCTTATAAACAACACTGTTAAAGAAACTCTAACGATATGTTCGACCGGCCTATCGGGATTGACCGAAAAGTGTTCGACCTATCGAACACTCTGATTTTTAAAAATTATGTTAAAATTTACTAAAGAGACCAAGAAAACCAGGAGAACTTGAAACCAGGGACATTTGAAAACCAGCATTATACTTTAATATCTTCGGGTCAAATCTCTCAACATTATTCAGACCAAGCCCACTAGTACGCCACAGTGCATTATACTTTAATATCTTCGGTTCAAATCTGTCAACATTATTCAGACCAAGCAACCTGATACAACACAGTGCATTATACTTTAATATCTTCGGTTCAAATCTGTCAACAGTATTCAGACCAAGCCCACTAGTACGCCACAGTGCATTATACTTTAATATCTTCGGGTCAAATCTGTCAACATTATTCAGACCAAGCCCACTAGTACGCCACAGTGCATTATACTTTAATATCTTCGGTTCAAATCTGTCAACAGTATTCAGACCAAGCAACCTGATACAACACAGTGCATTAAACTTTAATATCTTCGGGTCAAATCTGTCAACAGTATTCAGACCAATAACACTAATACGCCACAGTGCATTAAACTTTAATATCTGGTCAAATCTGTCAACAGTATTCAGACCAAGAACACTAATACGCCACAGTGCATTAAACTTTAATATCTGGTCAAATCTGTCCCACAGTATTCAGACCAAGCCCACTAATACGCCACAGTGCATTATACTTTATTATTTGTGGGTCGAATCTGTCCTACATTATTCAGACCATGCAACCTGATATAACACAGTGCATTAAACTTTAATATCTTTGGTTCAAATCTGTCAACAGTATTCAGACCAAGCAACCTGATACAACACAGTGCATTAAACTTTAATATCTTTGGTTCAAATCTGTCAACATTATTCAGACCAAGAACACTAATACGCCACAGTGCATTAAACTTTAATATCTTCGGGTCAAATCTGTCAACATTTTCAGACCAAAAACACTAATACGCCACAGTGCATTAAACTTTTATATCGTCGTGTCAAATCTGTCAACAGTATTCAGACCAATAACACTAATACGCCACAGTGCATTAAACGTTAATATCTGGTCAAATCTGTCCCACAGTATTCAGACCAAGAACACTAATACGCCACAGTGCATTAAACTTTAATATCTGGTCAAATCTGTCCCACAGTATTCAGACCAAGCCCACTAATACGCCACAGTGCATTATACTTTATTATTTGTGGGTCGAATCTGTCCTACATTATTCAGACCAATAATAATAATATGTCACAGTGCATTGAACTATAATATCTTCGGGTCAAATCTGACAACAGTATTCAGACCAAGCCCACTAATACCCCACAGTGCATTATACTTTATTATTTGTGGGTTGAATCTGTCCTACATTATTCAGACCAATAATAATAATATGTCACAGTGCATTGAACTATAATATCTTCGGGTCAAATCTGACAATAAATCTGTCCCACAGTATTCAGACCAAGCCCACTAATACGCCACAGTGCATTATACTTTATTATTTGTGGGTCGAATCTGTCCTACATTATTCAGATCAATAATAATAATATGTCACAGTGCATTGAACTTTAATATCTTCGGGTCAAATCTGACAATACCAACCACTCTCATACTCCTCTAAAGGGACTGTAAGCGTAATTTTAAGTGACCCTCCATACAAAGATGGCAATGTCCAATTCACAACAATACTATTGAAAACCTTTGATCAAAAATGTTAAAGATATTGTTGTTTTTCTACGTTTTAAAGTAGTTCATGCTTATCTATATATAAATTTGGCTTGTCTGTCTGTCTGTTTGTCTGTCTGTTTGTTTGTATCCAATAAACGTTAAAACGGCTGAACCGATCGGGCCCAAATTTTTTGTGGGACATCTAGGGACCCCAGGGAAGGTTTATGAATGATCAAAATTTCAAATATTTGTCTCCATCAAAATTCGATCTCCATTAAATTTTTTAAAATTTTGAAAATCCACGAAATTTTTTGTGAAGATCCGCGAATTATTTTTGTTTTGTTTTACGATGTACACAAAGAGAACATGTTCACAATTAATTTAGAAGAGGCTAGTATTTCAAAATAACTTTTTTAGACTTGATCAGACATAGCTATTAAGAGTACCGTTATGAGTGGGCAATTGTCATCTTTGCATGGAGGATCACTAGAAGTAAAATTTACGCTTACCTTTCAATATATTTGGGTCCAATGAGTCAACACGTTAAATTTAATATATTTTAAAAATGTTTACATTTTATTGTCTAGCAGGAAAAGCTGAAGATGGAAATCTAGACATATAAAAAAGCTCTTTGCTCAAATATTTTTTTTGCTCTAGTTGACCAACCCCAGGAATGATAAAGGCTATAAAAAATTAGATTTTTAAGTGGTTTATAAACCTGAGCAACGGCGGGTACTCCAGGTAGTTTGAAAATAATTATGAAGTAGTTTACCTAAATATGTCTACTTCTACTGCTACTATTTAGTCAGTAAGGTATAGCTAAGAAATCTTGTTGATTGATATGAATCTCGTAATATTTCCTTATGTCGGTTTGGTTCGAAAACCACTGACATAGTTTTGAGCTTTAACCAGTGACTAAACTCAAGTTTGAATTAAAGCCTTATTTTTAGATTTAAGATTTTTAGTTTTTGACTATAAAAACTTTTAGCGAATTGGGAGGGGCGAAATTTCGTTAAAAAATGCTAATTATTCTCATTCATGCTTTTGCCAAAATTTAGCAGTATTTATTATTTGAATTGACAAGTAGTTTGAAATTTAACTAAACATAAGATAAAAATATAAATTATGAATCAAATTAGGATTTAAGGGCGGCAACGCCTCTGTTGCTAGGATTTGGTTCGCTGATCTTTTCAAATTTATATTTATATTTTTTATATTTTCACGAAGTCGTAATTTTAATTTTAATTTTAGCAAGTTGCAGAGAAACTACAATTAAAAATAATTAATTTTTAAAGAGAAGATTATGGATATCTTATTCCTTCTTGATCAGAAAAGCTTTGAAGACTAAGATTATCATTCTTAGAAAATTTTAGTTCATATGGAATTATGTAATTATTTTCAAGCCATGAATTTTTGGGAAATTTTTAACATTTATTTCGTATTAGAAAACAAAGACCTTCTCGTGTGTCCACTAATATCTTAAGATACTAATAAAAAAGTATGAGTCGAATAAAATCCGGCGTAGAATATGAAATTGTCCAACGATATGGTGCATTGGTTAAATAAAAATTATGACTAAAAAGTCTATAGAATCTTGGACAAAGTACTAATAGCGGACAGGATCCGGTCGAACACCACATCCCATTTAACACTACTAAGGTCGGTAGGTCCTGGCTCTTCATGGCTCACAACTGGCTCATCACCCCTTTCACCCCATAAACTCAAAAACCTCCATTACTTTCCTAAAATGATCATCCTAGGTTTGATTCACTCAAAACTTCAATTGGATTTATATATAAAAAAGAAATGAGCCAGCCCCAGTCCATTACCCCTTATGATATCCTTGGTTTAAATGATGTTTCTTCCAAAAATTGTGAGTTTAGTCTAGCCGCAGAGGATCCACCTGTATAGAATAAGTTAAAGCTAAATGTTATTTAAATTTAAGTTTAAATTTTATCCAAATAATTCAAATGTGCCCCTTGGCACTGGACCCATGCTGGGTTAGCTCAAGGTTATAATGCAAGGAAAATTATTTCAGAGATGTACGCATCTTTTGTACTGCAGTGTACTATCTCTGGGCGGTAAAGAAAACACAAGACGGATGTCGAAGCCTGACATGGGATCCATCTTTCATTTGAAAAATCAATGACATATTCTGGTCACAGGAAACTATTTTGTGAATTAATCAAAATTTTCAAAATTTCAATGCTTTTATCCTCCTCGGAATCTAAAGGAACACTGATGCATCTATTCTTGTTTACAAATTCCGCCCAGAGAGAACTAGTTTCAATATGTACGCAGAGTATACGCAACTGCAATTAACTTTCCTCGCAATGTAACCTTGTGTTAGCTATTGTTAGAGATAACTGAATATAGACAGTACAAATAAATTGAATGGATAGATAGATAGATTAAATAATAAGGAGGGGAGGAGGTATCACTATTGAATAAACTTGGAATATAATTAAATGTATCAGATATATAATATGATTATTCTTATTGTTATTTGGTAATCCTTGATTATATGCAGGAATATCGGAGGGGGGGGGGGGGGGTATTAGAATATTAACCCTTTTATTAACCCTTTCGCGGTGTTGCAGTGATACAGGGATACAGAAGTACATAGTAGAAAATATAAGGGAAACTGGAAAATGGAGATACAGGAGTATAAGAGAATACAAAGTGTGGATATACAGTATGATTCATAGCATACTATATAAAGCATCAAGAGAAACAGCACCATGATATACTATAGAAAATTCAGAGAAACAGGATATAATACAGAATACAGAGATACAGGAGTATAAGAGAATACAAAGTGAAGATATACAATATGATTCATTGCATACTATATAAAGCATGAAGAGAAACAGCACCATGATATACTATAGAAAATACAGAGATACAGGATAATACAGAATACAGAGATACAGGAGTATAAGAGAATACAAAGTGTAGATATACAGTATGATTCATAGCATACTATATAAAGCATGAAGAGAAACAGCACCATATACTATAGAAAATTCAAAGATACAGCTGATAATACAGAATACAGAGATACAGGATAAAACAGAATACAGTGATACAGGAGTATAAGAGAATACAAAGTGTAGAGATACAGTATGATTCGTAGCATACTATAAAGCATGAAGAGAAACAGCACCATATATATTATAGAAAATTTCAGAGATACAGAATAATACAGAATACAGAGATACAGGATAATAGAGAATACATAGATACAGGATAATACAGAATACAGAGATACAGGATAATAGAGAATCCAGAGATACAGGATAATACAGAATACAGAGATACAGGATAATACAGAATACATAGATACAGGATAATACAGAATACAGAGATACAGGATAATACAGAATACAGAGATGCAGGATAATACAGAATACATAGATACAGGATAATACAGAATACAGAGATGCAGGATAATACAGAATACAGATATACAGGATAATACAGAATACAGAGATTCAGGATAATACAGAATACAGAGATACAGGAATATTAAAGATTATAGAGGTACAGTAAGCACATAGATTCTGCTTGCTTATAAAAAATTTCATCAATTTTTTAGACAGGGTCGACTTTGAAGTGTCGCAACACTTTGGGCTTTTATTTTACCACTCTAACTTACTTATGTTTTTTTTGTATCCCTTTATATTTTAACTTTAAAGCTTTTAGCTTTGGTTTTCAAGAAGTAAGTGGAACCTTCAAAGGACAGTGTAAGGAAGATTACATATTAGAGATTATAGAGATACAGGAATATTATACAGGAAATGATAAAATTGCAAGAATACAGTGGATACTAGAGATATAGGAATATAAGAGAATACAGAGTACAAGGATACAGTGGATACTAGAGAATACAGAGATATAGGAATATAAGAGAATACAGAGTACAAGGATACAGTGGATACTAGAGAATACAGAGATATAGGAATATAAGAGAATACAGAGTACAAGGATACAGTGGATACTAGAGAATACAGAGATATAGGAATATAAGAGAATACAGAGTACAAGGATACAGTGGATACTAAAGAATACACAGAAACAGGAATATAAGAGAATACAGAGTACAAGGATAAAGGGGATACTGGAAAATACAGAGATACAGAGATGTCGTTTGATACTGGAGAATGAAGATATATACAATAGATCCTAGAGAATACAGTGAAACAAAACTAGCGAATGCAAGGATACTGGGACATATGATTCTAGAAAATATCTAGATGTAAGGGGATAGATGCGAAGAAGAAAATACAATAAGTATGTTACGCTTTTGTGCGTCCTCAATTGTGCTTTCTTAATAGTGCGTCCTAAATGTATGAGTGTCGAAAAATGTTAGAAATTTTTTCCATGGAACACAAGGTAAATGAAGTATCCAATTTTTACATGTTAATGATATAAAAGTAGACATTTTTTCATGTGATACCCCTAGGCCCTTTATTGTACACATAGATTCAGCCTCCTTATGAAAAGTTCCATCCATTTTCAAGACAGGATCGACTTTAAAGTGTCGTAACGCCTTGCGCTTTGATTTTACCGTTCAAACTAACTTATGCTTTTTTGTAGCCCTAAACAAGAACAAAGTGCTTTATTGTTCAAACAACAATAAAGCACTTTTATAGCTTTAGCTTTAAGGAATAATTGAGAAAATTTTAATCTATTTGAGCTTGATAGCTTGGAACCTTTAAATCACAGTGCGTGTTAGTAATTAGGAATATATCGGTGTTCATCCGGCTGAAAAAGATTTATGTTCTATTTATATAAATTTTAATTTGCTTCTGCTCCGCAAGTCACTTCAACGGAGAACCGCAATTTGTTTTAATCTTCGTGACAGAAACAATCTGAAGAACTGCAGACGATGGTCAACCCAGACCGAAAAATATATTACTCTACAGAGGTTTGGTCCATCACCTAATTTTGAATGCTAACAATTTGCACATAGAGAAACAAGACATCAGAAAAGGGTTTATAAAGAATATCCGAGAGGAACCAGGCATGCAACTCTTCAAATTAAGGTTTTATTTAATTTACACGAACAGTCCCTTTAATACCCCTGGTTCATCATTGATTCCGAACATATCGAGGGTTAAAAAACAATCCAGGTTCATCAACTATTTATATTGTATAGAGAGGGGGGAGTACCGGAACAGGGTTTCAATATTGGATTGGATTCTGTTCAGTTGTACTCCCAGGAGAGGGTATACAGAGCTAGCTTACTCCGTCCTAATTGTTGAACCGGACTTTATCTTACTCTAATCTTTAAAAATTGAAATTTTAGACGTGACCCAGTTTTAATATGATGAGGTTAAAAAAAAGTGATATTTTACCTACGTAAAAGCAGTTTTAAGTTCAAAATAACTTCAGTCAATATAATATAAAATATTATTTTTTCTATGGGCACAATCGTTCCTCTCAAGTCTCAACATACTGATCACAAAGTCCAAAAACTGGTTTAGGGTACATTTTGACGTCTATTATAGCATAATTTGGCGTAACATATTAACTATCCTCTAATATTTTACTGAATTAATTATTAACTATTACTAAAAGTAGATAGTTACTAGTACATAGTCCTAACGTGAACAGGACCAGATTGAACCAAAGAGAATATAAAGTGGAATTTAGTCAATTCCTCGGTATGAATTTTGTCAGTCCCTTTCAGCCTGAAAGGTAGTTCAAAGTGTACAAATCATGTAAATGTTCACAAATTATATGCAGTAGAGTACAGTAATACGGAATGTTCCCTGGACTATCCATTTCAATTCCGAATTTTTTAAAGCTGTTTTAATAAACTTTATAAAATGAATTAGGTGAATAAAAAACATCATTTGATTTACAGTTATAACGGAAAATCATCGTTTGTAAAGTGAAAGGCATAGAGTCTATGTGAAATGATCATTGGTCAATTATGAAACCATAATTTGGTTTTCTTTTAGTATTAATTTTAGATTTTCTATAAAATGATGTTCCAGGGCCCAAAAGTTTATATAGCACAAATATTTGAAGTACACCTGCAGTATGGAAACAGTACAACAAAATGGCCTTTTTACACTTTATTCTCTTTGGATTGAACCCTACATACCCATTCAACTATCATCTAACATTTTACTGAAGACTGTAGTTTTTAACGTGTTTCCTTCTTTGGCTAATCACTAAATAGGCCATTTAGACTATATTTAAGAAAGAGAAGACTTAATTTACATAAGTATTATGAGTTTAATGTAGTTTTTTCAGTCGCATCCTTTAAGGGTAACCCTCGTGAATGTTTATGTCTAACAAACTCGAATAAGACCAATCAAGTTGGCTGATATGGTCCGAAACTGTAATTTAAATAGGACTAAACAATTGCTTAACTCTTTTTTTAAATCAGAAAAGACAATTCTCAAAGTCAATTTTTGTTTAAAACTAATTTTTTTATGGACATTAAACCTGGATCATTGTTATTACGAGATTATCCGTCAAAAATTGGCTCGATGGTTTTTAGAAAGTTCTCGGATATGGAGAATGTGAATGTGTGACCAAATTAGTTTAACTATTTTCAAAAATAGCAAGACTATTAACACCCTCCTCTCTCAAAATAAATAATTTTTCCGTTTTTTATAAACATGCAACATTTTGTTTTACAAATTTAAATATTATTAAAATATACTCAAAATTATAATTGTATCCGAAGTGATGTGGCATAGTACATTTCAGTTGACAAATATTGTAAATTTACAATCGACATCATTTCTAAATTTTCGAGCTTTTTGTTATCTTGCAAATTATGAATCTGCAGTTTACATGGAGGCGAACAAAATGAAACAAAAATTGATGGAATTTAAAAAAAAGTGGTTTTCTTTAACAGACGGATATCTGAATCTAAACCTGTTCTGTACAATTATTCACAAGAAAATTACATAAAACTTGCACAACAAAAGAATTTTATGAGATCATATGGAAAATGCTTCTTCTAAATCTTCAAAAATAACAATAATGTTTTCATGACTAGAAAAAGAAAGACAAAATTTAGTTAAGAAACATGTATACATACATTGCATTTGATATCACTTTCATTTTTGGTTTAAGTTGACTCATTTTATCTTTTTTAAAGTTTTTAAGTAGAGTTTTAATTGGTTTCTTCTTCCTCTCTTGTTTCGTTGACAATCACCCCTGTCAATCTAAATCTTGAACCCAATCCAATATCTGTCCTAACAGATAAAACATTTACAAAAGGAAAAACAAATTCTAGAACATATAGGATATTGTAAGGATGTCAAAAAAATCTGGGAATTCAGTGACGCGGCATCATTTGCGGAGACAATAATAATATGTAAAAAATAGGATTTCCAAAATGTGGTCTGCCGTTTCTACCTTCAAAATTGACAGAGATATAAAGAAATTTGTCTAAATAAATATTATTCTTATTGATTCTTTAGATAAAGGTAGTTCCCATTTTTGAAAGTACAGCACACATGTAATGAATGATCTTTTAAGACATCTATTCGTATCATAAAATCGACTATTTCAATGTCGTTCTTAAACTCCCGAGTTTAGTGTCTCCAGCTAGATTGGTAGTTTTTAGATAGACCAAAAAACATGCGTCTGTGTTTTACAGTGAGAAGAATTCAATTTTGGGATGAATGGAATCCTTATTCTTGATTTTACTGAAGAAATATCGATGTGAATTTTCAGGCTCTCATTGTACTTGAGGCGAGTGAGAAAAGACGAAAGATATTATACTACACTAGATGGGAGTGACGACAGTAGAAAATTATGGGCCTAAGACTCAATAAATTACGATGGGCGGATGTCCTGGGTATGTTTTCGGGATTCATCAAAATGCTAAAAAATCAAATTGAAATTGATTCATGAAATCTTTTTTTAAAGATCTATTCCTAGCATATTCTCTTCCCTAATCTTCATCTCGACATGCTTCCCTTTCTGAATAATACATTACTTAAAGGGAGTGTTAGCGAAAAAATAAAGGGGTTATTGCCTGATGTCGAATTCAGTTCGCTATCAGCTTATACTCCCTTTAATTTTTCTGCGAAAACTCCCTTTATAAGTTAAATAAATAGTTTCACAGAATTTTAGAAATCTTAAATAATCTTGTGTCTATGCATAATATTTGATATTCAGCGTGGTGGCAGCAAAAACCTGAATTTCTAGAATCAAAGCGGTTATATGAGTTTTATAGCATTCACTGCAAGAAGTAAAATGTTGATCTCCTTTGTGGTTCGGAAGGGAACGAATACGGTTGCTAACTTGCTACCTGCTGCCCCATCAAAACAAAAGGCTAACTTTGCAAAATGAAAAAGAGTTTTGACTTTGTCAAATTTCCGCACTAAAGTTAGAAACCAACCTCAAGGTTCTCCGAGATCTCCATCTTCTCAGATTTCTCCTCCGTGTCCTCCATCGGACTCTAAACATGAGATAACCCGTATTAAGGCCTGAACTTGACATGTTCCAGAAGTAGGGTATGGGCCAGTAAAAGAAGCTTTAAGGACACATAAAAAAACGTCATCCCTGATTTCTTCCCGAAATTTTCATACATTCCGAGGTTTACATAATGCCAAAACCTACAAAATATTAGATCCTTAATCCTTATACCTGGTCGGTTTCTTCTCCAGTAGTAGAGTCTGGTATAATATCTTTCTCCTCCTCTGAGTCCTCCTGGAGAAAGGATGGTGTAACCTGCTCCGGCTCCTGTTTGATCTCTGCAGCTTGACGGTCAGCCTCCCTTAGCTTCACCTTGTAATATATTTATCAGATCTTAAAGGACTCGGAGATAATTATAGTTTTCGACCAAATATTGAAATTTTGTGCTTCAAATTTCAGAGAGAAAAGAATATTATCAATACCGAAATAATTCTCCTAAATCTTATCTTTATTTAATATTAAAGCAAAGTAAATTACATGTCCGTTTATTGACCCCGATAAATAATTTAAACAAAGTAGGAAGCCTCCCAAAACCAACAAGTTTATAAAACAAAAATTCAAAATAAACAAGAGCATTAGATTATAAAGGATTTTTTTGAAGTAACACACCGATACATTTTGATTGATCTTATGAACTTCTCCAAGGTGTTTTTTCATCTGAAGAGATCTTTCAAACTTCATTCCACACCCAGATACAGGACACCTGTTCAAACCCAACTCCTAGATAAGATAATAGGTGTAAGGAACTTATCTAATGAGAAACTTCCTAAGATTGTAATTTTTAAATACAATTTTCCCAAATAAACTTCTCCCAAAGTTTTACACAAAAATAAGGAAGGTTTTCACAGTTAATGTAAAACTTTTATTGCCAAGTCATCAACTTTAAATATAAATAATTCTATTGAGTTGTTTATCCCATCTTACCTCTTGCGCATCTTCTTCAGCTCCTACAGCAAAAGCGCAATAATCCCTCTTATGCCGCTGTTTATTACTATTTGATGAGAACTTCTTCCCGCATTTCTCACACGGAACTGTGCTGCCATCATTTTTAGCAATCCGACCCCGACCCATCTTCTTAGAGATAGTTTTACCGAGAAATTTACTCTCATAGGCAGCAATATTTAGCTCGTGACTTCTCTGAAGATGCATCTGTATGTTTTTATAACAATGTTTCACCTCGGCGCTGCAAATTTGACAGAAGAAATACCTGAAAAGTGCACACATGAATATTGAATACAAAGTGTTAAAGGAAATGTGTAGCTTTTGAGGAATAGAGGAAAACAATCGCATCTTTACATTTCCCGGGAGTTACGGTGGTAGGCGATTATATAAATATAATGAAGACGACTTTTTATTTAAATTTCGATTTACATAAAGCTTTTAAACAGCATGGAAACACAAAATCATGAAAACAAAGAGAAGTGATAAATTAAAAAAGATCCTCTTTAAATTACTTGTAAACTTTTAATTTGAAAAAAGCTTGTTAACAATTAAAACTTAAATAATAAGTAGTATTCATTATATTGATATAATCGCCTACCAACGTATTAAGTTCTGAAATTTAATATACTTTTTACTAAGCCTTGGGACGGATACTGTCAACTTACTCTGTGTGTAATTCACAGTCTCCATGTTGCTGCTCAAGATCTTCAAGAACAGCATCATGCTCCACCTGGACATGCTGACGAATATTCTTCTTCTCTGTAGACTCCTTTAAATATAAAATTACTGTATTTAGCCCAAACATTTTGAATCAGACGTGTTTAAAGGGATCATGCCTGATTCTCATTGGTATCAATTTGTGGAAGATATTGTCGTTTTTTCTAGTGTGTTTAATCGTCATAATTTCCTCCTTTGTTTCTGTAGCAAGAAACTATCATTGAAAATATCCAATAAGAAATCATGGAGATCTTATATACATCTGCAGTCAAATTAAAGAAATTACTAAAACTTTCTCTTTAAAAAAGGGATTACCTTCTCACATAATGGACATTTAAAGATACATTTATTCCATCTTTCCGTCTTGGCCGTCCTTGCAGTTCCTGACCACGTGATAGATTTAACCTTAACCTTAGCTCCAGGTATACCGTTCTCTATTGCGTACTGATCTATGGTGAGACTATGGCACTCCCGGAGATGTGTATAGATATTGTTCCTCGCGTGTCGAGTTTCAGCTCCACAGATCTTACAGATCCACTAAATTGGATAAAAAAGTTATCAGAATAATTAAGAATTATTTAAATGAATTTACTATTTTTTCACAGACAAAAAGCTTCAGAATAAAAAATTGCCCTTTCTTCCAAACCATGAGGTATGGTCACTAACTCTTATTATTAAATTGTCATTTCTTCGTCAATCAGTAAAAGCTGCCAAAAGTAAATATTACAGGTTTAACACTTTTACAAACGTTTCAAACCTTAGGTGTTGGTAGTTCTGGTTCCCCATAGTCCGAAATATAATCCTTGTAATGTATCTTGTGTTGGTTCTGGATATGTGCCCGGATAGTTCTCCGGTCTATATAAATACTACTGCACAGTTTACATTGGAATTCGCACCTAATAGAAATTAAAGTTTAAATGTCGTCTTTGTCTAGCAAAATATTTTGCGAATTTTACGTTACCTGTTCCAGATATCTCCGGGTTTGGAGTTAGGCTGATCTGACATATTCTCATCGGAGTTCTCAGAGTTCTCACTTTTCCGTCCTGACTGCTCAGAAATGTTTTCTACAGAACTTAAACTCTCCCGCCTGAGCGTGGTTCCAGGTCTACTCTGATGGTTGGGATGGTAGGGCCAATCCTCCTCCTCCATATACTCCCTTTCGTACTTCTCCAGGTTCAACCCGTGAGTTTTAATATGAGACACAATCGTATCCTTCATAAACTTAACACTGTTTCCACACACCCTACAGTTGAACCACTCCGAGTTAATCTCAATATCCGGGTAGGATTCTTTATAGGCTCTTGATCCCAGACCATGATGGGTCATTATGTGGCCCATTAATCCCTTCTTACTGTTGGAGGTTTTGCTGCAAATGGCACATTGGAACTGGCAGAGGTTCCACTTGGAGAGAAGGGAAGATGTAAACTGTGAAGTTGAAGACGACGTTTCTCCTCAAATTAAAAACGTTTAAAAAGTGTGTCCCACTAAACATGAAAACTATTGATCAATAAAAAATGGTTTGTGTTACTGAGATATAATTAAAAATTATATAATATGCCCAAATCCCCCCATTTCTAATATTAAAAAACTAATACTTAAAACGTATAGTTAAAAGGACAAAATCCTAAAAGGACATGATTGGATTAAAACAAAACATCCCATTCAAATTGAAGTCTGCTTTCTCCATGCTTTCAATATTACCGGATATCTAAATATTTCATTCACATTTAAATTAATCATATTATAACACCGAGGCCAGACAATTGTGTCAAGGGTACCGTTGTGAATCAGACATAAAACTTTTTAAATTCGGGGTCAAACCCACATTTCCTCATTTCCTTTCAATTCCAGTTACTCACCCATAAAGTCTTGAGAGACCTCCTGATGACATGGAACACCTTCAATCTCGATCTCGTATCCGTCGCTGGTCTCGAAAGTTCTAAATTTCTTCTCCGGCTGAAAATCTGATAAAAAGTAAAACTAAATAGATTTTATCATAATCTTTTTTTTATATTTCAGATTTGCTGTTAATAAAAATGTATTTTCCACTTAAAACAAAAAATGAACATGAACAAAGCCAAGTTATACAAATCCTCTTGGACTTGATTTAAACTAAATAGATGACGTTTTCTATGCAAGACGTTTTTCCTATTTTTAAACGAACCTTGTTCGATCTCATCAACTCTTCTCTTGATGGTTGCTTGAGTGGGAGGAGGAATACTAACTCCAGTTTTAGTTTTAAACTTCATTCCATGGATCACTTGACAGTGCTCAATAAACTCCTTTCTGGAGTCAAACTCAAACTCACATACACTACAGTTCCTGTTTCCTAGAATATATAAACACTACAGTTCCTGTTTCCTAGAATATATAAAAACTACAGTTCCTGTTTCCTAGAATATATAGACACTACAGTTCCTGTGTCCTAGATTCTATAAAAACTACAATTCCTGTTTCCTAGAATATATTAACACTTAAGTTCCTGTTTCCTAGAATATATATAAACGCTACAGTTGCTGTTTCCCAGAGTATGTAAGAACGACAATTCTTGTTTCCTAGAATATATAAACCCTGTAGTTCCTGTTTCCCAGAATATATAAACCCCTATAGTTCCTGTTTCCTAGAATATATAAACCCTATAGTTCCTGTTTCCTAGAATACAAAAACCCTTTTGTTCCTGTTTCCTAGAATATATAAACACTTTAGTTTCTGTTTCCTGGAATATATAAACACTATGTTCCTGTTTACTAAAATGTGTACTTAAAGGGACTGTAAAGGAAAAATGAAAGGGGGTTTAGGCCATGAAAGCTAATCACTTTAGCTCTTGATCGCGACCCATGAAAGTATTATATGATGTTCCTGTCTCGAGAAATTGATATAATACTGTGTTAAAATTATACGAAAGTTCATATATGTAAAATTTAGAAAATCTTAAACTTAAATCACGTGACCAGTTCAGTGACTTTACTGCACTGCCATTGGTGGAATTTCTGGTCAAGTAATACGGACTTATAAATAATTTTATGAATTAAATCTATTAAAAATGTAAATAAAAAATATAAAATTAGAATTGGAGTAAACCTAAGTTACAATTAGCTTTCTCTGGGATTCATCGTTTTCAGATTGGTTGTTTATTTGCTGAATTTGATCTATTTAAACCCACTACTTTTATACAAAATTTAATATATATTAATTTTCGTATAAATTTGACAAAGTTGTATATCAAAATCTCGAGATAGGAACATCAGATATAACTTTCATGGGTCGCGATCGAGAGCTGAAGTGATTAGCTGTCAGCCTATACCCCCTTTCATTTTCCTTTACAGTCCCTTTAAATGATTTCACTGACCTTTGTTTTGTATTTCTAATTTTGAAGGGCGAAGAACTTTTAAATCCAATTCAAGAGATCCTACAAGAATTAAATAGTTCAATTTTCTAATACTAGGTGAATGATTTTAAGAGGGTAATTTTTATGGTTAAGGTAATCACCTGACTCCTGACCATTTTCAAAACTCTCTTCAATTTCTTCTTTTATCTGAACCTTCCCCGTTTTGTAATCAGAGCCATCTGTGAACAATTCTTCGTACTCCTGCTCAGTTATCTTGTGAGCGTTGCGCAGGTGATCCCTAAATAATGTAACTTGCAACTCTTGTTAACATAAAAACAGAGATAAATATTTTTTTTATAACTCATTCACGACCTTTTCTTCAAGTTTACTTTGAACATTATGTAAACAATAAGCACTTTTGCGAAGCTCATTCATTTTTGTTAAATTGTAAAGCTTCATGCAAAATGCAAATGAAGAACTTTTGTGGTAAAACAATAAATTCTGCAGAAAAATTATACTTTTCATCCAAAGAAATACTTTTGATTGATAATAACCTGAGATATTTGACGTTGATGTTGCAAACCCTGCACTCAACAGTCTTCAGGGTTGGAAGAGGGTCCGGAGATACACCTCTCCTATTCAATACAGAGGAATATAATGATAGATGTTCAGGGTTGGAAGAGGGTCTGGAGATACACCTCTCCTATACAATACAGGGATGTATAATGATTGTTCAGGGTTGGAAGTGGGTCCGGAGATACACCTCTCCAATACAATACAGAGGATATATAATGATAGATGTTCAGGGTTAGAAGAGGGTCCTGAGATGCACCTCTCCTATACAATACAGGGATGTATAATGATAGGTGTTTACTGTTCAGAGTGTCAAGATCCGGGTTTACCTAGTTTTTCTGATTCTCTCCAGATACTTTGTCCAGTTGATCCCGTGCACGTTCTTGAGATGGGTATGGATCGTGTTCCTGTCGTACTTGATCACCTTAGAGCAGATGTTGCATTCAAAAGGTTTGGACTCGGTCTCACCTTAATATTTTAAGTTATGGTTGAACATTTTAATATTAGAACACCTGTCAAGATAGTATACGATTCGCTGACTGACATCAACAGTTAAATACTGTCAATATCCAATCATTCATAGAAAAAAAACTTACAAAACTCTTTTAATGTTTCTATTATTAGTTATTAGTTAAGTTATGACGTTGTATATAATTTTTCTGGATTTACTAAACTTCTTTACAATAACTTAACGACATTTTTGGTGGCACTTCATTAAGCTAAGTTGCAGACTGTAGAGCCATGTTTCAGGATTCTCCTTGTAATCCTTGTATGAGATATCATGCTTGTTTTGTACTTACATCGTCCATACTATCCTTGTAATCCTTGTATGAGATATCATGCTTGTTTTGTACTTAGATCTTCCATACTATCCTTGTATGAGATATCATGCTTGTTTTATACTTACATCTTCCTTACTTCTCCTTGTAATCCTTGTATGAGATATCATGCTTGTTTTGCACTTACATCGTCCATACTTCTCTTTGTAATCCTTGTATGAGATATCATGCTTGTTTGTACTTACATCGTCCATACTTCTCCTTGTAATCCTTGTATGAGATATCATGCTTGTTCTGAATATGCCCGTAGAAAGCTCCGTTATCGTTAAACTCCCTGGAAAAAAATAAAGGATGACGATTAAAGTCGTCTTTTGTCTCAATTTACGCGTCAGGCAATCAACGGACTAAATTAAAGTATGTTAATTCTAGTCGAAATATTCCAAAATTCAGATATTTAACGACAGCACGTTTTTTCTCATATATATATATATATGTTTCCCTCTAGTGTTGATGGTACGTGTCAAATTGTGTTAAAACTTGTTAGACCGTGTAAAACTTAGCAAACCTGGGACACAGTGCACAGTTGAAGAGAGAAGCAGATCGTCTGGTCAGAGCAATCTCTTCATTAGCAGCAGCATATGCTTTCTTCAGCTCATCGGGATCTTCTAGTCTAATATTTTAATTCTTAGTTAAAGCTTTATGAGCTGGATTAAAAACAAAAAAAGAGAAATGAAAAATTCTTTTAAATTTAGGAATTAACCATTTTGATCCACTTTTAAAAAACTAATAATAGTTTTATCTAGTAGTAATCTATTGACCCTTTCCGTCTATTAAATGAACCTATTAAAAATACGTCTCGACAACTTAACAGAACCATTTCTGACATTAAAAAAATAGTTTGCTCAAAACACTTGCCACAAACTCTTATTTAACTACTGATTAAATATTTGCTACCAGAGTCTAAAACTAAAGAATGCGCGAATTTAAGTTCGAGGTTAAAAGTTCTGTAAAATAATGAATAGCTATTTAAATATTAAACTTTCTCAATTTTACATTTGAATTTCCCGGGAAAATCTGAACCAATCAGAGAAAAGGATTTACGGAGAATATTACATAACCATCGCTAATCAACTGTTCTTACGTAACTGAAAACAAAACATACAACCGTTTTTTGGGTTTACATCCAGAAATTAATTTATCTAAAACGTGAAATTTCTTTAACAAGGTTTTCATTTTTAAATATATCGTTAAGTTGAATGCCGCTTTCTCAGCTGCAGCTGAATGATGATTGAATAATAGACAAATAGGGAAAATGCAGGATTTCAAGATAATTTAAACCTGTGTTTAAATTTTAACTCCGATTTCGGCGAGTTAAATATTTAACCACAGGGTTAAATATTTAACCTCACGGTTAAAGTTCAGGTTTAAATTAAGTCAGAAGTGGCATTTAACCATGAACTTAAAATTTAAGTCAAAACTTTTCGTTCTTTAGTTTTGCACTCTGATGTTGTAAACCTTTGATATTTGAAACTATAAATTCGGCTTTATCTAATAACTAAGTTTGAATTATCAAAGGTTTACAGCATCAGGTTGCATAGAAATAGGGATTAGAAAGTTTGAGGCAAGTGTTCAGTTCCTTTTTACTATTTTCCCCTACAGCCCTAAAGGGACTGTAAAGGAAAAATGAAAGGGGGTATAGGCTGAAAGCTAATCACTTTAGCTCTTGATCGCGACCCATGAAAGTTTTATCCGATGTTCCTGTCTTGAGAAATTGATATAAAACTGTGTTAAGATTATGAGAAAGTTCATGTAAAATTTAGAAAATCTTAAGCTTAAATCACGTGACCAGAACTATCATCAATGGCAGAGCAGTAATACTGGTCACGTGTCTCCGCCGGTATCACGTGACCACTTTACTGCATTGCCATTGGTGGAATTTCTGGTCAGACAATATGGACGTATAAATAATATTATAAATTAAATCTATAAAAAATAGAAATAACAAATATAAAATTAGAATTGGAGTAAACCTAAGTTACAATTAGCTTTCTCTGGGATATCATCGTTTTCAGATTGGTTGCATATTTGCTGAATTTGATCTATTTAAACCCACTACTTTTATACAAAATTGTATATATATTAATTTTCGTATAAATTTGACAAAGTTGTAAATCAGTTTCTCGAGATAGGAACATCAGATATAACTTTCATGGGTCGCGATCGAGAGCTAAAGTGATTAGCTTTCAACCTATACCCCCTTTCATTTTTCATTTACAGTCCCATTAAGAACCCCTAAAAAAAGACAATCTGACATGTTAATTACGACCTAAGATTAGAAAACTAACGTTGTCTTCTCCCTAAAAGTTTACCTTTTCATATTATATTGGATATTTTGGCAAAATGAATTTTAAGGCTTGTTTCCCCCCGGATATACAGGATTACCCACAATGGACAGGGATGAATGACGAATTAAAACTTATATGTTGACTTTGGTCATCTGCCTAAACTATAGTCTGATAATGATATAATTGATGATTTGACGAAAAAGTTTTAAAAGTTTTAAAGGTTTTAAAAGAGTTGAACCATGAATGCAAGAAGTGTCCATCTAGTCGTCTCTGTCTGGTAATGGTATCCTGTGAATCTTGTATTATACCTGTGTTTAAGTTTAAGATGAAGGAAGAGCTGGTAATCCTTCTTGAAAACTTCCTGACAGTTGAAATAGCACTGGAGATCCGTAGATAACGGTTCTGCTTCATGCTTTACTCGAGACAACCGTTCTAAATTATTTTTGTTTTGTTTGTGTGGGCATGTTTTATTTAAAGGATAAGGCCTAAGGGAAAAAACCGAAAAATTGGACATCACAATTTGATACTTTTTACGCAAAAAAAATTCTATTTTACCTTAAAAATCGTTTATTTTCCCCAATTAAGCAAATAAAACTAAAAAAAGGTCCGCTCCGCACAATCTTGCATCAAAAAAATATTTTAAAAAGGGGGTGGAGGATGAATTTTCGATAAAATAAACTTCCCTGGGACGAAATACAACCCATTTTCTTAAAGAATGTAAAGTAATTAGTTATCTATGGGTAATTGAGAGGATCTAAATGCCCCCCCCCCTTGTATTACCCAGATCTCAGACACAATACTTTCGACACCTCAATCTTGTTCTTTATACAGAATAGAAAAATAATGTAAATATTTTTCTTTTTATAAATACATTTAACAGATAGATTTAATATCTCCGCTGATGTTAATAAAACACTTTGTTTTCATTTTAATCCAATAAAACAGGCTCTGGATCATACTTAGCGGAGGAGGAGGAGAAGATTTGAACTCAGGTTTCTTCTCCGCCTGGTTTAGGTTCATGTTCAACTCAGATGAAACCAGTCGGAGCAAATCTGTTGACATCGGTTTAATTGATTCCTAAATATCATTGCTTATCAATTTATTTAGACTCTAATAGCAGGAATTCAAATTTGTCAGATTTCATTCATCAAAAGAAGACGACGTTTGTTTTTACCTGTCGTATAACTTTTGCTACAGGAGAAGAACCGTTGAGAAACTCTGAACGATACTGTTCTTCTGATAGCTTGTGACACACCTGTAACAGGCAAAAATAAGTTATTTCATTCGTAGAATTGATGACTATAAAAACTGGAAAATATGACCTTTCAAAAAAACTATTTACTATCCAAACTACTGTTTAAATATCAAAGTATGTTATTGTACTGGAAAATTAATCAGATAGTCATACGTGTGTTATTCCACAATTTTTTAAATTCTAAATGGATCCCCGAATATGATTTTTCTATTACCTGAAGATGGCGTTTAAGATCCATACATTCTCTTTCACAGATCAAGCAAGTGAATACTTCACGATCTGAAAATAATTTTAATATTTTCCTTCAATCCATTTCCCGGATCCTCACCACCGTTCTCTAACAACATGTCTGACTGAATACATCCCTCTCAATTCCTTTTAATTACATAAAAACTTGGTATGATATGCACGAGCTACAATCTTTTGTAAAAAATAAAAGTTTCGGAATCTTTAAGTAATCCTTGTTATAAATTCACAACGTTGTCGTCTAGATATCAATGGTATGAGTTCTTATTTATTCATAAAAGAAGACGACATTTGAGAATGTTTTCACCGCCCCCCCCCCCTCCACCAATAAATAAGTTTTGAAATTTATAGAACAGTTCATTAGGATTGGCAAAGGATCTTTTTTCTTCTATACCACCGGTCAACCACAAGTGATTTATCGACCTTAATTTGACGATCTTTATAAAAATTCACTTTTTAGATGATTTACCTGGAAGATCTTCAGAGATATCCTCGCCCCTGTTCTTCTTCTCAATAAGTTCTTCATAAACCTCTTCATCAATCTGATGTTTCTTGTTGAGATGCTCCTTCTTGTACTTGACGGATACTCCACAGATCGAGCAGTCGAACAACTCAGGGTTGGGTAGATCCATCATCTCTCCTCCCTTCTTCAGCTTGAAGATAATATCCTGGTATTCCTTCCATGAGATCAAATGAACCATTTTCATGTGCGCACCTATTACATATTTTTAAAAGCAATGGTTTGATGATGAAATTAACGAGTTAATACGAAAGGATATGTTTCTTTAAATTGCATGTAAACTAAAGGAAGACGACCAGAGAAGTAATATTACGTTAATAATCAAGATGAAGTAGGCAATTACCGATAATATTTCTTGTATGTTTGACCTCCTTCTGACAAAGCTCACATGTGAAGGTTCTAGATACAATCTCACTGCTTCCATACTCACTCTTGTACTGAATTCTACAAAAAACCAAACTTAATATACTGCAGCAATTTTAGACAAGATTTATCTACTTTAAAATTTGTATATAGGTTGGTCCACTGGTTTTAGATGACACTCCGGATATTGAATAGCTCTTAATTTAGCAATCTTTATAGAGTGCAGATATATTGTCTTACATGATATATAAATATTGTGTCCTTCTTTGATATAGTTTGTTCTGTTATACATCCTCAAATGTTATTATTTTATTGTAAGTCTATGAAGAAGAGATACCTCTGAATCCTTGATTTTCTTAATTACTGGGTAAATTGTGTACCACTACCTGGATACATTTTATACCTGGATACATTGTATCCCTTGATATATGTTATACCTGGATACATTGTATAACTGAATACATTGGATATATTGTATACCTGGATATATTGTATACCTGGATATATTGTGTACGTCCTTGATATGCCGCGTAAAGTTCGCAATACTATTGTATTTATTGTTGCATAATCCACATTTATGCACGCAGCCATCAAGCTTAGCCTGCAAAATGTATTTTTTAGATTAATTTTTTATTTATGAAATTAAATAAAAATAATAAATTTTATTTATTGCGAAATTATATTAAAATAAATTCACGTTCAAAAGGACTGAAATTCTATTTGAGATTGTTCAACACCAACTGTACTTGTACAGTACAGTACAGTACAGTACAGTACAGTACAGTACACCAACTGTACTTGTACAGATCTTGTTTTTTATTCAATTCTTTCCAAAATGTAGAGGTATGAGTTCAATAGTGAATTTAACCTTGATTAGCTCTTCTTTAGCTTGTTCCATGAGATGAGCTGGTTGATCTTTATGTTTCATCATGAGATGAAGTTTCAGTTTATAATCTTTACGGAACTGCTCAGTACAGAACAAACAAGTGAACCTTAAATATACAGGCTGTTTTTGAAAAGTTTTTTTTTCATGACGTAATGAGATTGATAAAAATCCACCAAAAAAGATGGAAAATCGTCCAGTATTTCTTCAAAACTTTACATTTGCGAAAAAGACGTAAAAACGCAGAATTTAGGTTCTCTTGTGAAGCATATCTCAGGGAAGCCAATGTGAAAAGTCATGGAGACAACTAAGATTTTTTTTCTTGGTTTGGAGAGAAGACTGCGTCTTTCATTTTTTGGTGATTTTTAACCTCACTATAAAAAAATCCTTTAGAATAAGATTTTTATGCAGGATATTTGGGAGATATTTCATTTACAGTGCAGTACACATTTTGACGTCATTAAGAATGTTAAATTGTCAAATGCCAATAGTATTGCAGCTCTTTGGAAGAATGGACCTTTATACAACGAGGTTATAGTGAATAGAGTGATGATGTACGCTAATCCTTTACAAAATGTATAGGCCCGAGCCTAAACTTGACAGGGTAGCAATATTTTTGTTATGAACTATTATTTTATTTAGTTTCTTCATATTCTTCATTTTTTCGAATATCTTAAGTAAAAATCTACACAAATGCTAAGACCCCATAAACGTAACTCGGGAGTTTCGTTCAACGATACTCTTTTAAATTTCGTGCTTAGGAACTTTACCGAGAGCGTACTGCATATTTGTTTATTATAAGGAGATTCTGGCCTAACCTATAGTATATCATTATTAGTAAACAGTTGTAAGTGTACAGTACAGGGGGATGGGAGTTAATGCAAGATATACTTTTTGACTTACCATCACTCTTCTATCAAATTCTTCTTCAGTCATTTCTTCACTTTTCAGTTTTCCAAATTCAGCGGGCTGAAGAAAAGTATCATTTGACTACTTGACAAGAGGATATAAGAGTGATTTATAACAAAAATCTATATCGGCCGGTTTTGAGATTAAAAATATTTTAAGTTTACTTATACAAAGAAGTTTTATGCACAATAAAAATAAAAAATTAAAACAAGTTGTACTTTGAGACTTAATTTTGGAAGGAATAAGTTCCATCGTTCCAGTATTAACTTTAACAAGTTGGATAAAATAGAAGAAGGATTAAACTACTGAAGAATTTATGACGTACCTGAAGTTCATGAGCTATACTCATATGCTGCCTGATCAGTGATATCTTCTTGAAGATAGCGGAGCAAATTTCACAACTCCAAACTTGTATCTTTGGCTCTTCCTCGAGCTCTTCCAGAAACTGTTGCTGAATCTTATTCAGAGTTTGGGTCAGGTTTGATTCTCCATCTTCCTCTTCTTGTCCTTCCTTCTCCTCACCGTTGAGATCTCCGAAATCAGGTTCATCCTTGATTGTGCGACCCAAGAGAATAGTTGCAGCGTCCTCGTGGATCTGTATTCCTGGAATCCAGGTTCTAGGTTCTGATTCAGCTTCTGCATTTGGTTCTTGGTCTGTTTGAGTCTCAGAATCAATCCGAGGAATTTGAGTAACTATCCCATTTTCCTAAAAACAAATTTTATTCGATCCTAAAATCTAATTGAAAAGAAACCCTCAGATCCCCGCCGGGGAGAGGACCAGTGTCCCCAAACCGTTTCATTCCTGCCTTTTTAACTACAGTCATAATCAGAAAGACCCGGAATTAATTTATAATTATTCAGACAACTTTACAATCTAATTTTACAAATGTGATTAATAAAATAAATAACAAAAAATCCCTAGTTCCACCAATTCCAAAATGTGGTCTGCCTTTTTTGTGCGTTTAAAATTACTGGAGATATTTATGTAAAGTCGTTTTACCTTTGGTTGAGGATCTATCTGAAGCTCTGGGAGGGACGAGTGCTGGCTCTTATATAAAGAAACCTTGATCAAGAACTCAATGTCGAACAAAGCTCCATGCTCATTTATAAGATGTGCTTCAAACCTGAACAGTATCATTCATGTGCGCATGAAATATTTGATTTTAATAAGTAGTATTTATTGGTATCCACTTCCTCAGAGTAATTTAAAGTTTGTATTGTGCATAGAAGAATGTAACTATAGACAATCCATATCCATATCCAATATCCATGCCCACGCCCATGCCCATGCCCATGTCTATCATGTCCAAATCCATTGAAATCCATATCACATCCATATTATATCCAAATATATATCCATATCCAAATCCATGTCATGTCCAAATCCATATAATGTTCAAATCCATATCATATCCATATCCATATAATGCCCAAACCCATATAATGTCCAAATCCATATCATGTCCAAATGCATATGATGCCCATTTCCATATAATGTCCAAATTAATATCATGTCCAAATCCATTTATATCATGTCCAAATCCATATCATGTCCAAATCCATATCTTATACAAATCCATATCTTATAGAAATCCATATCATGTCCAAATCCATATCTTATACAAATCCATATCATGTCCGAATCCATCTTATACAAATCCATATCATGTCCAAATCCATATCTTAAACAAATCCATTTAATGTCCAAATCCATATCCTGTAATACGGTAATCTTTTAAACTTTGTCTGATCAAGATAAAAGGATCCTGTTAATCTCACTGAAATTTGATTATTTTCACTGACTTGCGGAGCTATGCTGCAGAGACAATGAAGGAAAAATTGTGAAAATTTAACACTTGAAGGAAGAATAACAACAATATGTTGCTTAATATTATTTAGATGCAGGTTTATGGGAAACTGTTGTGAATTGTATAAATCACTGTTTAACTGATGAGTTACTAAAAAATGCGTCTTCAGCCATTTAAAGAGTTTTTATTTTATCCCCTGAAATATAATCCTTAGAACATACAGTGGGAACCAGAAATCTGTGGAATAGGAAGATGATATTAAATCAATAATTAAGTGCATTAACGTTGTTACAAAGCAAATGGTTTTAATAATTATCAAATAATCAAAACACGAATTAGGTGAAATAGGTCTGATAACACTGCACAATTGATATGTCTCATGTTCATTGGAATATTCAAAGTCGTTCTCCTATTCAAGAGTTTTCTGGTTCTCAATGTACATTGCACATAACACACCCCTTGTAGTCTTCATAAATTATACTTCAATCTGAATATATAAATTTAACTAGTGTTACCTTGGACCCGGATAAATGTGAGTTCCACCACATAAAAAACAAGTTATCCTCCCAACCTTGGAACTCATCCTGATTATCTATTCTGAGTTCTGGTTCTGGACAGGTTCGTTCATCCTTTAAAACCTCTGAAAATATGTAGAAAATAAGGAACGCAGTTGGATACTTACATAATGAAACTTGTCCCGATTTAAGTTTTTAAAATCAAATCAAAGTTGACTCCATGCTTGATATCCCCGTCAACTTCGCCTATGATACATTACTCGACTATAATGAAGGCCAATGACAGCTCCAATCATTAAATCATTATCTGTAAAAAATCAAAGACGACTTAAAAGTCGTCTCTCCATTCCAAGTTTATTGAAACTCCCTGTATCCCCTGTACCAGCTTAGGATTAGTTGCTATAAAGGTGATATTGATTTGTGATCATCATGTTACGAAGAACAGAGGCGCAACCAGGGGCCGGGGGGGGGGGGGGGGATAGAAATGAAGAAACGTAAACGGATAAAAACAGTCGCAATTCTGTAAAAAATCAATGATTTAAACGCAACAATCAATTATTATAAGATTCTGTTTGAAATTAAACAAAAAATCTCCAAAATTCATAATATTTATTGAAATGATTTGAATGTTGATTGAAAGAGGATTTTAACGTCAAACTGATAATTAATGGTGAAATATATAATTTTTAAGAATTTCAAAATCATATGAATTTATTCAAATCGTCTCATTGAATCATGACTTTAAAGAATCTAAAGATATATGGTTTTTTATCACATTGATGGTACATGTATGAATTAACATTGTGTATTGATGATAAAGGTGATTGCGTTGTTTCTAGGTTCTGTGATAGTTGGAGACATTTATTTACTTTTTAAGTCCATTAAGTTTTGTATTCACTATTATTAACATGACCTAAAATTGTCATATTCTAAGATTCAAAATCATATTTAAGATTCAAAATTACTAAAATTTAAATTTCAGTTACAAAATCACTTAAAATATGATTTTCGTTACATGAGCTAAGTTTCGAAAAGAGTAAATCACTCAAATAATTAAAAGAGGTTTTGAGACTCCACAATGCAGTCATATATGATTTTTAACACCCCGTCCCCCAGTTGGTCTGGAAACAACTCCTGGGTTCAAAATCATTAGTTTACCCGACTTCTGAGGCTCTGATTAGATAAGAGTCAGCTCTCTCAGTTCTAAATACAGAGAAGAGAATCCTGAACTTTCTCCGGGAGAACCAAATACAGGGGAATAACTCTCAACTCTAACAAAGAGAGAGAAGAAACCAATCTGAAATATATTAGAAAAGTTGTACACCAGTACAAATAACGCTCAAAGAAGCCTTACTACACTGACAATTCAATATTCCTAATATCAACTGTACTTACAAGAACATAACTCATTACAAGTACTATAAATTACAGTACTTCAGTATTATTATAAAGAATATGGAAAAAGCAGTCGTGAAACTGAAGCAAATAAATGAATACTACAGCAGTAACAGTTGTTTGTTAAGTTCCGAATCACTTAAATCACAAGAATTTCAGGTTTAGCAACTCTAGCACTAGAAATAGGTAACTCAGACGTCTTGATTTTGGATGTGCATGGATAGTGGATACGTTTAAAGCCTATATGGAAAGGAAATAAGAGGACTCTACCAGGCTCCACACTTCACATGGTTGGTCTGGAGAGATGGATAGCGGAGAACTGAGAACTGCTGTGTTCAGTCTCCAGGTTGGAGGGGCGGGGGGGAGGGTCGAGTATTGATCTGCTGTAATGGCTGCTGCAACTCCAGCTTCTACGCCAAGAGTGTCCTGGCTGAACTCCTGTAAAACTGGTTTTACGTCAGAATTGTACTGTTTCATGATTTCAGCTTGCATACTTTCTATTACATCATTGTAAACAAAACAAATATGAAATACAAAATTATACTTGATGACATTGATGAAGCAATGAATTCTTAAATCTAAATAATAAATACTAAATACATGCATGGACCAAGAGAAAGCAATATTATATAAACACGAACAACAGGCGCAACTGGGGTACTTTGTTTGGGGGCATTCATGTGCGCNCCCCCCCCCCCCTAGAAATTAATATCATGATGTATATAAAATTATTGGTTTTAGTTGGGTTTGATTTGCATTTTCCACTCATTTCTGGCATTTACAAACTCCACCTAACAAAGGCTTCATTTCCTACCTTGTTTTATATCCTTCTTTAAAGTCATTCATTTTACATTATTTACAAAGATCTGTAAAAAAACTGAATTTATTTTAAGTTTAACATAAAAATAAACATATAAAACAATAAACATAAAAAATAGTTTTACTCTAAGAGGAAAAAGGTGTACCTTTTTTAAATCTTTAGAAAAGCTACTCTGCAAAGCTTTGAGAAAATATTGTCTTTGTTTATATATTCTAATTTCTAATTTCTAAAATTTTAATGTAAACAATGTACGTAGTATGCTAAGTTCTAAAATAAATCTAATATGGAAATGAGATTATTTAGAAATAAAAATTTATTCTTCATGTGGCCCATACCCTTTTTTAATTCTAATGACATTGACTATTACTTTAGAATTTAGAATCATTTAGAATGTGTTGACTTAAAATCATTCTAGGGGGGGAATTACCCCCAGGATTCTAGGGGGGGGGGTAAATCCCCCCCCCCCCCAGGGAGGATATTTTTGATAGTGAGTAATGGTGACGACAATAAAACGAGCAGCCAGCGAAAATATTTTTTTTACTGAAACCCTAGACATTTTTAAGATTTGCTCCTGTTTAAAGCTGTATTTGGAAATTCTGAGATTCTCTTTATTACCATCTCTATGCAGCCTGAATTCTCTTTATTACGATCTCTATGCAGCCTGAATTCTCTTTATTACCATCTCTATGCAGCCTGAATTGTTCGCTTCTTAAGGACATGCTAATAACTAAGAAAAGAGACTATCAAAAGAATAAAGATTGAAAGATCAATATAGGATTCATAAGGATTACTGATAGTATTATTGTTGACCATAAATCAACCTTCTAAGAACCCCCCCCCCCTGGTAAGTCGTCTTTACCAAAACTTCCCTCGCGGAGAAAAGCAAACCAAAGCAAGTCTTCGTTCAAATTTCTCTTTACTCTCCGACAAAGAAACAACAAATAGTGAAACGTTTTGCTTAGTTTAAGATCAAATCCATAAACAATTTTGCAATCAATAGTTAATTCCACTTAAAAGAACCGGGTTTATATTTCAGAAGTATTTACAAATGTTTTAAACTATTCCATCAAACCCTCAAACCCTGATCACTCTTCACTCTGTCACATAAAACTAGTAAGACATATTTTAAATATTCAACTAAATTGATACATTATCATTTTATTTTTTTATTATACCTAGATTTTATTACAGGTTTGAAATACATCTATTTACTGATTATTGGAGACTACAGTGTCATAGTTGAGGAGAAAAACGTTCCTGAAGACGTCCTTGTGACCCCAAGTTAAGGGGACACGTATTTTTATTTAGTTTTTACCCATTGACGATTAAGTACTTAAAGAATTCCTCTAATAAACCAAATCTTACTATTTAAGTATTTAAGTATAAGATTTTAATTTGTAAGGGAAGGGGAGGGGCGTAATAAGATTATCTTTATTTTCCATGTGTTGAGGAAGGGGGAGGGGTGTATCAAGAGCCTCTTGAGATTTTGAGTTGGGTAGGGTGGAAGGGCAAAATAAGAGCATCTTGAGGTTTTAATTTGGGGAATGGGCGCAATAAGACCATCCTAAGGTTTTGATTTGGGGGGAGGAGGGATGGGGCCAAACAAGAGCATGTAGAGTTTTTTAATTGGAGTGAAAGGGAAGAGGCTTAATGAGGGCATCTCGAGGTTTTGAGTTTGGGGTTAGGTATCGGGAGCAGGGCGTATTCAGGAATTTGTC